AAAAAAAAAGAAAGAAAAGAAACAAGCTTTTGGTCCAAGTCTTTCCTCCTCCGTTCCTTCCCTGTCCGTCCCTCTGTCTCCCCCCTCTCCCCCTGACGGCCGACACAGCGGAAAACCTTCTGGTTAATGTCGACAGGGAGGCTTCGCAGGATCGTCCCCAGGACTCAGATATTCAACATGTTATGATTGCATAGTTTTTTTTTTTTAGGTTTTTTTTAATATAATTTCCTTTTTAAAAATGTTTTAATATTTTTTTTATTTTGCACGGAATGGAATGTTTACATAAAGACCCCTCCCTGATCTCGACCCCTCTTCCTCTCCTTCCTTGCAATAATTTTCTTTCCCTTCAGAGATAAATGAGGGGATGGAGGGATGGGGGAGGAAGTGTGAGAGTGAGGTAGGGGCAGAGAGGGAGGGGGAGAGAGGGGGGGAGGGGGAGAGAGAGAGAGAGGGAGGAACAGGGCTGTAGCCACCAATCGGCGCGTTTTAAATTTGTTTTTCCAAATCAGGAGAGCGCCACATTGTTGTTACCATGGTTACCCTAAAGGGAAAAAGAATCCAGGACGAACCTTCATTCTGTCGATCAAATGCCTCCATGATTACATGTGTATATATTCATTTCTGTCTGCGTAGGATTTCTGATATATATAAAAGTGACGACTCGTCGTACTCATCGTATAAATGTGTCGGTTTGTATTTGAATAAGCACCTGATGCCCACAACAGCAGAACAGTTTCACAGAAGCAAATTTGTGTGGATTATAATGGATGTTGCCCGTCATGGCATTTATACAGGAACAGGAAGGCCTCATCTCCATGGCGACCAACTTCTTTTCAACGTTTTCCATCGATAAAATAAAAAAAACTTTTAAGAAACTTCCAGAAGCTCAAACCTTTCCACTGGAGGAACTGCTCCGTGTCGATATCATTGGCTTTTACATCTTATTTATTTATTTTTTTAAATTAACGGCAGCTGGAACGTCCACTTATTCTCAACAGCTGGGACTGCGTGTGTCGCTGTTCGCACTGAAAAAATAAGTATGTACAGCGCTGACCCCACCCCCACCCCGATCGACAACCCCCGTTCAACGCCACCCGACGCCACCACCCACCTGCTCCAGAAGGAAAACAAAAAAAAAGAGAAATAAACAAAGACGAGAGGAGGAAAAGAGCTGAGGTTAACAGGTCACCTTATCCAGCAACACGGGAATTATGGGTAAATATGTCGTTTTATCTCTGGTTGGTCACCCCACCCTCCTTCCCGCCCTCCCCCTGACCCCCACAGCATATATCTCACTAGGATCTAATACACCAACCTCGCCAGCCACCACGACAAACTATGCCCCGCCCCTGCCGAAAACAATCTGACCCCGCCCCCCTGGCAAGAAGAAAAAAATTATGATAAAACAAACAAAAATTAGCATAAGTATCAGATTAGCTTGTGCCCCCCCCCCCCCCCCCTCCCACGTCCTAACCTCTGTCGGACCCGACCATAAGACAGAGAGGGTGAAGCTAAGGACCCGCACTACAGAACCCCGCCCATCCCGGACCTGCCCCCGGATACGCCCGTTCATAAAACTTCCCCTTGATTCATCAGGAGCTGGAAAACATCAGCGGAGGTCAAACCTAACTACAGTTCAATCAACAAGCTCACAGCCTTCAACACTTCTCAACCGGCACACGCAGGGGCACCTCACAACCGCCACTCAATTTTTTCCTTCTAACGCGCGATTCCTGGCACCTCCTCCACGTGCAGAAAACCTCTCTACCATCCTTACTTCCTTCTTCCTCTCCCCTTCACCCCTCAACCCCTATTTTCTATCCGGCCCTCTTCCTCTCTCCTCCTCTACAGGTCGCTCTCTCCGTACAGGGCGGTGGAGAAGGACATGTAGTCGAGGGCTCCGGGCACGGCGTCAGGCCCCGAGTAGGGCGCCATGCGGGCGATGCAGTACTCCGCCTGGGTGGGGGGGAGCTCCCTCCTCAGCTCGTCGGCCGTGATGTAGTTCTGATGGAGACAGAGATGAAATTTACCCTGTGGCTCAAAAACGAAACTACACCAGCAAGGTCAAAAAGTCTGGGACTTAGAAACAACACAGACAGACACAGACAGACAGAAAGACACAGACAGACACAGACACACAGACAGAAAGACACAGACAGACAGACACAGACAGACACAGACAGACAGACTCGCTCACCTTATCAGCAGCCAGGATCTTGAAGGAGGCGATAACCTGGTCTGCGGTGTCCGTGTCAGTCGTTTCCGTAGACATGAAGTCAATGAAGGCCTGGAAGGTGACGGCGCCGCTGCCGTTGGGGTCCACGATACTCATGATGCGAGCAAACTCACTGTCGCCCTGGCAACAACAAAAACAGGTTAACCCAGAACAGAAAGCACTTTGTACACATACACACACACACACACACACACGTAGACGCAGACGGGATGTGATGAGCGTAAAACATCAGGACCACCATGAAATACTGAGCCGATGAATAGAAATGCTCACGGTCCCAATACTTTACATTTCACATTTACATAAATAATGTTACTGGTTATCAACAGTGAGAGACGCAGACACTCGACCACATGTAAAGTTTCCTTCAGTCGCCCTCGAGGGCAGAAAAGCAGCAACAGGACAAAAGCAAGAGACAAAATGAGTCGAGCAGCAGAGGATCAGACAGGACGTCTGCAGGCGTCAGAACCATCAGATCACACTGACTGATGTTCTCACTGTATCAGCATGAACATGGATATATTGTTTAAATACCTGAAACTACTGAGGTTTGGTAAAAATAAACCGTAGAAGTAAAATAAATCTACTGTTTCTAGTGAACAGAACAACATAAAATTACTTTTGAGAACAATGTATTTTTTGTTTGGCCCATGTCCCATCCACTAACATGGAGGAGGCCAGTTTTACCTAAATTAGGCTTCAGTTTTGGGAGCCAACATGTCGTCCATCTTTATTTATACAGATGTCAGCTCTAATGTATAATTGTCAAATCAATTATGATTTGATAAACGTGTGATCACTAACGAGGGCGATGTTTAGCTGCATCCAAACCACGGAGCCAAAAGTTTCAGCCTCATTTTTTAAAGTGTTCGTCTGTGGACCTGCAGACTTCCTGTCAGAGTCACGCAGCAGCAGTACCAGGCTGTTTCCTGTCGAAATGAGTAGAGCCCGGAAATCCTCTGACACCATCTGTCCTGATCGCTTCTGTGGGCCGCCACAGCACAGCAGAGGCCGGAGGAGCGAGGGAGGAGGTGAGTTGACAAGTGGCAGAGAGGAGGACGGATGAGAGGGTGAAAAGACAGGAGCAGAGAGGACGGAGAGAGAGAGAGAGAGAGAAAGATGAACAGAAATACAGGGAGTGATTTATGTTTGGGGAGGTGAGAAGAAAGAAAAAGATTTTAAAAAAAGCACAAACAGTTAACAGAGAAAGTCTCGGAGCAAAGCAAAACCTGACGGACGGACGGAGGTGAGAGGGAGCAGCACAAAGCAACAGTGACCCCTGGTGGACAAACCCTGACTGACCCAGAGGAGTTTATCATGAGCCTCAGAGCAGGAGCAGCGACTGATCTCTGACGAGTGTTTGCAACAAACGGCTTCACGACATTTGACAGATAAACAAAACATCTGAAAACTGTGCATCCAGAGAAATGTCATTAATAATCATTTTGGTAAAGTAGATACTTCTTTTAGAAATTGTAGTAAACGTATTTTGTAGTAGTAGAAGTAGTTTTCTATCCTCCTTTGGTAAATAGTAAAGTAGTAATCTAGTTTTATTTGCAATTTCAATTTCAAACATGTGCGATAGTGTCACACTGTAAATATTCTGTCAGCTTCGTACATATATTGTATTTTTTATGGTTCTTGCATTTATATTGTTTTTTTATGAACAAAGCCAACAAAAAGTTATTTGTTAAACTAATTCATCACAATTTCACTTAGAATCCAAAATGTTGAAGTTTGTTCTTGTCTGTATCATGGTGCAGATACATGTACTGACCGATGAGGTCACTGTGCCCGTCAGTGATCTCTGCTCTCCTGCTCAGAAGCTCGACAAACACCGACACTCTCCCTGCGTCTCGTTGTGCAGCTCCTACCTGCTTGTCGTTCTCCACATCGTAGCCCAGACTGATCAAACAGGCCTTGAACTCCTCGGCCATCAGGGCCCCACTGTGGTCCTGAGATCGGCCAAACACCCAATGACAGAGCGCCACAGCGTCACGAGGATGAACAGATCGCAACACGGGGATGGCGGTGGCGGATGGTGACCATGCAGGGATGAGGACACGGAGGATGGACGGACAGACAAACATTCATGGATGTTTAGAAACAGTGTCAACACACACACACACAACAGCAGGCAGCCATGATGGACTGTGAGGAGCCTACACCCCTGAAACCTTGTAAAATATGTGTTTCACCTGTTTCTTCTCAAATTACTTTAAAAATTCAGTCATTATAAAAACTATAAAAGTATTTCTGATGATATAAGAGGATAATAAACATTCAGCCTATCGAGCAAATTGAAGATTTCACAAACTAACTTTAGTTTTCTTGCTTTATCAGTTTTACTGCCTTTGTTCTTATCTCACGTTCCCTCCTTTGAGGTGGATGCCTACATTTCCCTCGAGATCAATAAGCGATGTATGTATCTGTGTAGAAAATGTAAAAACAACTACAAGAACAGGATTATACATCAACACCGAGATGTGTCGTGTCCCCACACACACACTGATGTGACTCCTGGAGCATTTATGAACCACTCGAACAGAGATGTGCAGAATCTTTCACACACATGCAGACACACACACACACACACACACACAGTGGAGTGAGATGGTGAAAAATGGAGGCCGTTTCCTTTTCATCCTTATGAAATACAAGATCTTTCCTCTGTGATTTAATGCCCACATTCCTCATCCTGCCTCTCAGCTAAAACAAAGCCAACAGTGATTTCCTCTTTACGCAGATTTACTTTCCCCTCAGCTGATTCCTGAATTCATGCTCGTCTCTAGAACCGTCAACGTGTTCTCACCACATGCTCGCCTGTGTGAAAACGTCAGGATGAATACTCACAGGTTTGGTTCTTCTCTCACCTCCACTTAAAGTCTAAACATTCATTCAGTCACGTTATGAATCGATATAGAGAAGTCTAAATCCTCACACACACATGCAGGTAAAACTTGATCGTCACCAGTAAAGAGCTTCTTCTGTCATTATTCACATGTTACACATGTATTCACTGTTGTCATGTGTCATGAGTCACTACAGTACATGGATAAAACTACAGTACAGTTTATATTTACTGCATAAATCATCACATTGGCCCCTGACCTTGTCAAAGTGGTTGAAGGAGGCGCGGTACTCGAAGAGCTGCTCCTGGCTGATGCCCTTGGCGTCACGTGTCAGGATCTGGTTCTCGACCTCGTTGATGGTTCTGGCGATTGTGGTCAGCAGCTGCTCCCAGCCCACACGGAGGTGCTGCGAGGAAGGAACATGTTGGATGAGCTTTACCCACAACTTAAAAAAGGGTGTGTGTGTGTGTGTGTGTGTGTGTGTTACCTCCATTGTGTAGGAAGTGTACTGGTTGTCGAAGATGAGAGCCTCCTGGATGAGCTGGTGGGATCCCTCCAGCTTGTTGATCTCAGGCATGTACGACATGATGTTCGTCTGGTAATCCTTCAGGTTGGTGAGCTGATCCTCCAGAGTGCCGTTCATTTCAATGGATATCCTGCCGATTTCCTGCCGACAGAAACACTCACATCAAGACGCCGTCACACAGTCGACTCGTCTGAAACCCAGTTAGCCGGTGCAACAGGACCTCGTTCTGTGACCACAATCTCGTGAGCAGCAGACAAAGTCCTCAATATCTATATTTGTAATATTTGTAAAATAAACTCCCTGCTGTAAGGTCGGGCATCTTAATTAGTTTGATCTGGCTTTTCTATGATTTGCTATTTATTTACTTATATTTTATGTAGTGAAGCCATCTTTAACAATGGTTTTGAAAGGCACTAAAAGAAAGAAAGTTTATTATATATTATTGTAAGTCTGCAGAGAAGGCTGGCCCCACACTAGAGGATGATCTGGAGGATTTCAGGTTGTGAAAATTCACAGAACCAAAGCTCCTGAATCCTGTCGACACTTTTCTCTGGGTCTGATGAGTTAACATGAGTTCACTGTTTTACAACGTTGGCCTGAAAACTGAGAGTAAAGTCCACATAGCTGAGAAAAGATTAACAGGTTGAACAAGACGCTGAGCACTGAGACTGTTATCACGGTGTGATCCTTTACCTCCATCTTTTCCTGTATGTAGGCACCGACTGTGTTGGCCTGGGTGGCAAACTTGGCTCTCAGAGTGTCGTTGGAGTTCTGCTTGTTCAGCTCATCCTGCAGGGCGTTGTCACGCAGCGGCACCATGGCCATTGCCTACAACACAGACACACACACACACATTACAAACACTCATAACTATAATATAAAAACCTGCACTTACACAAACAGTCAGAGGAAATCACTGAATCGTTTGGGATCCAGATTTATGGATTTTCCAGCAGAACCTCTTCAATCAAAAGATCAAAATCCAGGATCCATATTTATGCGGCCTACCTTCTCCCATTTGCTGTCGATGCTTTCAGGTGTGATGGTGGTGTAGGGGTTGGCTCCACTCAGCTTGATGCCGTTGCTCTGGGCGATCTTCTGCACCTCGGCCTGGATGGACTGGATGGCCTCACGCTCCTTGTTGGCCTCCGACAGGGTGGACTTGAACTGCTCGTGGGCTGTGATCAAACCCTGACGAAGGAAGCGTGTTTGGTTTAACTTCAGACACGATTACACAAGTAGTACACATATATTTTTGCACACTGTCCAAGTATCCAGTTACCTGAATCTCCTCGATGTTGTGGACGATGAACATGTCCTGCAGGTCCTCCATGGCTCCGTCCATCCAGTTGTTAAAGGGCGCCGCCCTCTTGGCGTACTCCAAGTAAAGCTCGTCTATCGACTCCAACTGCTTCTCTGTCCTCTGTCGGAGAGAGAAAATACAAAAAGGGTTCATTCAAGTTTTGTTTGGAAACAGTGAAGATAAAACACATGATTCTTGAAACACTGAGAAATATTAGGATGTTTTTCTACCGATGCTTCCGACTTTTTATGTTTGATGTTAAGATATTTTAACAAATTTCATCCATAAAAATGTTTTAACCCACTCGACTGTCAGAGGTCAACAGTGTGAGGTGCATTGTTCATTCAACAGCAAACTCATAACAGACTGACAACCACAGACTGGCTCATACCTCCAGAGACTCTTTGCGGCTCAGGGTCAGGGCTCCCAGGCTGTCCCACTGATCACAGATCTTCTGACAGCGAGCGTTCACGCTGGCAGAATCGTAATAGTCCAGCTCGCTGGAAAAAACAAAGAATAGAAGGTTATAATCACAAATGTGTTTCTCTTTTGTCTCATGATCTGATGCTGTGGCCCCGTGTCAGAATGACAGCTCCTCGTTTTCATGCTGCTCCCCGCGGTCAAGTCATCCTTTCAGCTGGGTAACGTCTGTGATGTGCACAGGCAGCTGCAGGCTTGGACGCAGCACGACGCTGAGAGATCAACCTAATACAGCAGAGTCTCTGGGGTTGATCTGATATCTGGTGGACATTTCATTGGCTCAGAGAGTTGACCTCAGCTTAAAGACTTTTTTCCTCCCTCCTTACTTGAGCTCCTGTGCGATGGCGGCGATCTGCTCCACTCTGTCCTGATGGGCGGCCAGGTCGCTCTCAAAGGCCTCGTGTTTCCTTAGCAACGCCTTGACTTCTGACAGGGTGGAAGTCTCATAGTCTTTCTGGGTCAGCATGGCCTCCTTACCTGCATTCACATGAACCTCATTAATTCACTGGATGACTCGCTAAGTCTCTTAAATGCTGCACAGAAGTTAAAGAGAGGCTGAGAAAATACTGTCGGTGGTAAACTAGCGTTTAACAATATCCCCTGCTCTCTTATAGAAACTGACTTGAACAAAGATCATGTTTGCTTTACATACCATCGGTCCAGGATTCGTGGATGGCAGCCTTCTGGTGGAACTTCTCGGCCAGATGTTCGAGTCTCTCCAGACGTCTGATCTCACTGAGAATCCATTCCTCGTAGCCCTTTTCTGCTCCTTCCAGAGTGTGCCACGCTCCATTGATATCCTGAGAGCAAACAGCAGGTTATTACTGATGTTAACGGTACAACACCACCCGTCTACCACGCATTGTGCAGGAAAGGATGTAAAAAAAAATTTTTATATGAAAAAAACAAGTTCTATAAATTCTGAATACATACAGACACCATGCGTCCTTCTGATGGCATGAAGGCAGGTCGGTTGCTGAGCCTCAGCTTCGTCTGCAGAGTGTTGAAGCTGATCTCCAGCTGACATTTCTCTTGGACCTGAAGACACGAACAGTAAAAGTCGACTCAGCGTTCGTGAGCACATTCAGCAGAGGAGGCAAAAAATCTCCATCCACGGAAAATGACAAAAACAATGAAACCCAGTTGTTCATTCAAACCTTTGGTGGTTTGTGGACGCAGCGGTAGTCTCTGAAGTCCTCCTGTTTTGCCTGCATGTCATTTACAGTTTTCTCTTGGGTTCGGTTCTCCAGCCAGGGGACGGTCCGACGGATCCACTCCAGCAGCTGGAGGCAGAAGGGAAGACGAGGGAAAAACACGTCAGTCCAAATAACCAGGTGGTCAGCGACGGACAACTTAAAACCGGGGTCGGTGTTAACGTGCTGAACGGTTCTGCGTGCGCTCTACTCACATCACTGGCCAGCTTCTCGTAGTCCTCCATCATTTGCTCGTTTTCCTGGTTGACAGCCAGAACTTTGCAGATACGATTTGCAGCTGTCTCAGCCTATCAGGAAACAGAGTGATGAGCGGCGCTCACGGTGGTTTAACAGAACACCGTCATCGCTGTGCCCAAAGCGTAGTGAGAGCATTCACTGTGGCTACGTATCAAAACACGATGCTGCACTTCAAATGAATGAATAGTCTATTGATTCATTAGTAGCTGAACCTGAGTTTTTATTACCACAACTAAGAACTAAAAACAAACACGTCTAGGTTTGTGCGTACACACTCCACACACACAGGCAGTGAATTGGAATAAACCCAAACACATTATTATAAAAGTGCAGAAACACAAAAGCTAATTTAATCGGACCGATATAAACATGCTCCAGCTGCTGATGGGTTAGTTAAAAGTGCCTGAATCAATGTGTGTGTTTTAAAGCTTCATGCGTCTCCTGTCACAGCTCAGGAGTCAGTCCACACGTCTAGTTACAGGTTCATGTAGAGCTGCCATCCACATCAGAACGTCTGCCTAGGATATTACACTACCACAGTACCACTGGAAATAAAACACAGTACACACACTCTAATTACAGTCGATATATATTCTGCATAATAAACAGTTTTGGTTTAATCTTAATTTTTTGGGAGCGTTTGTTTTAATCTTCTGCCTTAAAAAAAGTCTTTAATTTAAAATTCACACGACATAAATGAATCACATCATATAACAAAAACATTTAGAGTTGAAAAGTGTTAATAGCTGAAAAGAAACTGGAGACATCAACTAGTGTTTCCACCAAACAGGCCTGGTTTCCCCAAATCACATGAGTTCAGTAAAAAGAATCATCTCAATGTTGTTTTTACACATTTCTCTGTTTGTGTGGTGATTAATGTATTAAATTTACATCCAGGCCATAAAGTTAATCTCTTTGTCGGGGGAAACACAGCTGATGTCCAAAAGTCTGAAACAGAAGCACCAGAGTTCCTGTAAGCGTCCTGATCTCCAAATATTTCCCTGAGTTCATTAAATGACACTGAAGAGCATCTTTGATCATAACAGTGTTTGGAATAATCAGAATTAATCTACGCTTGGATCAAATGAGAAGTTAAGCTGGTTGAGTTAGCTCCAGAATTAAAACTCTGTCTATCAGGAGTTTCTGAAGTGGCCCCTCACTGTTACGCTGCATAAACATATAAACATATAACTAATCGGAACCTTGATGTTTCTTTACAGGAGGTTTTGTAGATTTTGCAGCAGAGACGTGTTAGTGTGAGTCTGAAGCGTGAGGCGCTCACCTTCTGTGCACCAGAGAAGGCATGATAGAAGCAGGATACATAGGTCATTATGGCCTTCTCATCTGGCCGCAGCGTACCCACGATGTCTACACATCACCCAGCAGGAGAGAGAGAGAGATGTCGACAGAGAGAGAAAGACAGAGTGAAGCCAAAGTTACCCAAAGCTACAGGGTTCTCGGCCCCCACAGGAGGTGAGAGCGAGAGGGGAGAGAGTGGCTCCCTCTTTACATCCAGGTTCTCCCTGTAACACGCCCCAACAACCTCCGGCACACTAATGCTGAAGGTGGGGCGTGATGGGGGGACAGCAGGGGACAGAGAGTGGAGGGACACTGGAGCCGCTGGGTCGAGGTTGGGACACAAACACATCAGCTGGTAAATCAGGCTCATTAAATCTGTGTCAGGGTGAATTCACTCGAACGGTTTATTCAACTCTGAAGCAGGTCATTTTCATTTGGTTCATTTAGCAGACGACGAATACAAATCATAACTGCACTGAGGCCATTCACTTTAAGAATTACACGTTATATCTTTAAAGAGATTTTATAAAAGGTCAATTAAAATGAATTATAGAAGAGAAAACCCTTAGGCTTTTATTCATTTGTGTTTTTTATTCCTAATTAAAGACACTGCAGCTGGAAGAGCACTGAGACAGTGTCAGGGTCTCAGTGCAGGTCTAATTTAAACGTTCTCAAATTAACAAGATGAAAAACCAACACGGCAGCAGACGTTGAATAAATGTTAATACGTCTGAGTGTTTGTGTGATGTAGGTAAATAAAGAATAAAGCTGGTAAAAGCAGTAAGTCTGCAGATTAAAGACTGGTTCTAATTTCACAGTACACTTATTTTTAAACAGACTTTCTCTGCAGCTTCTGATTTCATGTAAAAATAATGAAGGACAAGTTGTAGATGGAACAAGTACACACACAGGTACACACACAGGTACACACACAGGTACACACACAGGTACACACACAGGTACACACACACGTTCTCTCATGGGACTGCAGAGAAACACAAACACTGTCTGGAAGAGCCAGAAAATTAATTAGAGGAACAGAAAAACAAGAGACGCATCCACTGGCTTCCTGTCGGAGGCCTACAGGGAGCGGAGAGGGGTGAGGGAAAAATATGAGAGGAGGTGTTGAAGCAGAGGAGGAGAGAAACAATAGATGGGAGGGTGAGAAGACGAGAGGAGGAGACAAGAGAAGTACAGAAGATGATGAAAGAGTCTTTTAAGTATAATGTCTGATCTGAAAGTTTTAAGAAACATTCTCAGCAGCAGGTGGATTCACCGATCACGTCTTTCCTTCTTAATGAAGCGGAGCGGATCAGAGCGTTGTTATAGATTCATGGCTCTGAATGAAACCTGACACAACACTTCTCCGATCTTTGCTCCAATTCTTAGTAATTATCAACTTTACATCTCCAGGCACCTACAATTATTCAAATGAAACAAGAGGCTCATGTTATGTTTCCATCAGAAACTCAAATTATTTATCTCTATGTTCCAGATCCTTTTGATTTCACTCAGTCAAATCATCCTGACGGTCTCGACCCATTTCTATGACAACACGTCACACGACCATAACAAACTGAAGAGTTACTGCTTTCACCAGCAAACTGTTTGTGTGTGTGTGTGTACATGTGTTTGTGTCCCAACACATCCAGTGTCGTTGTTGAGGCCCAGGTCGTAGCAGCGCTGTGGAGAGAGAGAGAGAGGGCGAGGCCATGCTGGACAGGAAGCAGCGCCTTGTTAGTAACAGAGGGTTAACGGTCGAGGGTCAGCGGGTACCTTCTGCGCTCCAGAGAAGGCATGGTAGAAACTGGACACATAAGTCATTATGGCTTTCTCATCTGGACGAGCAGTGTTCACAATGTCTACAAGGGGAGGTGGGGGGCAGACCGTGGTTATAAACACATACATACACAGGCGAGACAGAGGACACAGGATTATACACAACACGTAGAAACATACAGTCGTATTATACAGGCTGACAGACACATGACACAAGCTACTGTCGCCGTCAACAGCCGATCAGGACGACGCACGATTCACAAACAAACAGTGAGAACAGACAGAAGAGGAAACAATCAGTCAACACGACTGTGCACTCAAGGGTCCGACACGTGCATGTTTAGAAAAATATAAACGTGCTTTATGTGGACGGTGTCACGTGACCTTTATTGGTACCGTCCTGCGGGTGAAGCTCACTGGACGATTTGCTTCATGTGTTGGACTCTTCAAGAAATGAATTCAATCCAACTGAGAAATCAGCTCTGACTGACGACAGCCGTGTACAACGCAACTCTGAGGTTGTGTTGTTTCCTGTGGTGAAGTGGGTTTTCTAAAGAGTAACGCAGAAAGCGGAACTGGACGAGAGTGATAAGCGAAATACGGCAGCCTTATATGTGCCGACTGCATCCTGAGAGTCTGATCACTTCTGCAGTTTCCTGTGTGTATATTATTATTTATTATATATAAATGTATATGTTTTAAATATATTAGCTGTGTGGAAGTTTTGCACTTGTGCTCAGGAGGTGTCAGTGCTCACATCAGTCAGACCCACACACGGAACACACAGACACAGACGTTCAGATTATTACACAAACTGTTCAATCCAAAGCATCAAAGGAGACAGAGGAGTTAGAGTGAAACGAAGGGACGGAGGCTCCATCGATCCTGAGACGACATCTTCTCTTCTGCTGCTCATGAACAGTAACAGGGTCAACAGTGCATTTGAAAATCAAGCAGCTACGATCATGTGCACATCAACACTGTGACCGGAGGATTATTGTGAATCTGTGGCAGAATTTCACTGATTGTTAAAGAAATCAGAAATTATGAACATTATTGCTTCATAGAGGATTTGATGCAGTTTCAGTTATTTATATCACAACATATGGATCTTAATGGATTTCATGTTTTAGTCGAATATAAACGAAACAATGTGAATCACAGCTGTTTGAGTGTTAACGATTGTTTACTGTTGTTCTTGATATGAAACAGTCACCTTCTTGTGTGCATGTAAATACAGCCAGTCGCTGATAAATAACAGTTTTCATTCAGTGTAGCGTAAAGTAATAGGGCTGCGCAATAAATCTAAATATTATCACAATCACATTATGACCAAGTTCGATAAATTGAAGTTTCTCCAAACAAAAGAGAACATGTTTGTGTGGAGCCCTGGTCCAAATGAAATCTGGATCACAATATCTGTCAGAATATTTACAAGATGATTTATCATTCAACCCAATTACAGAACACACGCAGGATAATTTACAAAACAAAATAAGTTATAAACAGCGTCACAGTCAAGCTCAAACGTACCTTCTGCGTCCAACATCTTAGGAATGTCCAGGTGCTTCTCAGCCACTTCGAAGGCGTTGTTCAGATTAGTGACTGGGTCGTCCTAAACAACCAATCGCAGTGTCAGAGGACCACAAATGTGCTGAGCGAGAAACGATCAGCAATAGTGTAAGTCATAAATCGGGTTTGTGTGCTTGCGAGTGCGTGCGTACCTTCCTGAGGCTTTCGTAGTCGATGAGATCGGGTCTGTGTCTGTGGATCAGAGCGTTGAAGGCGAGACCGTCCTTCCAGCTGTGAGACAAAGAACAGATTGACTGAGCGTCTCTGGTTTATAACAAAACACACTTTAACCAGTGACTATAAACACAACAGAACTCATGAAATTACACGCAGGCACTACTGCTGCTGCTAACACGTGAAAACACAGATCCTCTGCAGTTGGTTGCCTAGTTACAGCAAATACTATGAACGAGGAGCAGCGACGGTGAAAATAAGAGCATGGATTTTTTTGCAGCGACGACAAAGTGTTACCGACAGTAAGTGTTAGCGACACTTTGCATTCACTGCTAGCAGTCGAGTCTTGACGGATATGAAGCAATCAAGAAGAGAACGTGTGCGTCTGCAGAAAATATAACAATTTAAATGTATTTGCGTATAACCTGACCATCGTGTGTGCAGTATAAAATACTTCTACAACTTGACATGACTTACACCATAATCTGTCACAGTTCTATTATTCTTTTCCATTTGGAAGCACATGTGGTGTCTAACAGAGGCCTTCTGACAACCTGACAGAGCAGCGAGACATGTTCCAGTTAATCCACCAGGGGGCGATCTTTCTACAGAATTACAGTTTACCTTCAACATGTCTGAGATTTCATTCAGCAGCACCTGAACACATCAATACACACAAAATGTATTTACTAACACACAGTAAAGACTGAGTGTCAGTAAATACATAAATACTTTGTGTTTCACAGACAAAGCTTCAGAATCTTTTTTAAACATATTTTAAATAAGTCAGTTACTACATCATTGCTGCAGAGAACAATAACAGACTTAGAGTTTTACTCTCCCATGAGAAACTCGCAGTACACAGTCGCCAGCTTTCAACCATGAATAACCCTTGTGACCCTTAAAAAAAAAAAAAAAAGAATGTGTTACCTAATGTGGAAGTTCTGCACGTTGACATTCTTGTAAGGGGCGGTCTTCCTCTGGCACCACAGGAGAAGACCCTCCTTCGCAGAGGTCTCTATGAGGAAGACGTAGAGGAGAGGAAACACGGGAGAAGGTCAGGAGGAGGAAAGGTCACAGCTGCTCTACTCTGGAGAAACGTCTCCTCGTGCGTTTGGATTATTTGATTCCATCAACGGCAGCAGAACAGACCGACTGTGCTAAATATAAACTGTTGTTGATGTTGTTGTCTTTTACTACAGAAAAATATCAGTCGCTGAGGAAAACAACAAATATGATTCAGTGTAGTGGCCGACACCCACCAGCGGAAATGCAACACAGACAGATTTAATTAGACTCATCACAGCTTAAACTGTGTCATGATTCATCCACACAAAATAAACAGACTCAAAACATTCTGGAAGCTGGAGAAGAGAAACACACCATCATCATCATCATCATCATTATTATTATTCTTATCTGAAAAGTGCGTTTTAAAAGTCATTACTTTGAAATCAAAACCTTGAACATTGTTTTGATGTTGAAACTGAGTTTAATTAACGTGAGTCATAAAAGCAATAGGATCTTTTTAAATCATCGCACTTTAATTTTGCAAAATCAAATCTTAATTGAATGTTTCATGCTGATTTGGTCTCATGAGAAACACATGGAACTGGATTATAAGTGAATTCCAATTTCCTTTTTTGACGCTAGATAAGGTTGAGACAGAACTTTACAGCACTTATTTCACGGCTGTTGGGTTTTTGTAATAATAATCACAATTCTAATAATACTGTTGTATTTAAATGAGTAGTTTCACATCATCATTATTCTTAATGAATCAGACCTTAATTTTCCATTGGGGTGTGTGTGTGTGTGTGTGTGTGTGTGTGTGTGTGTGTGTGTGTGTCTGTCTGTCTTTAGCCTTGTTACTTCCACTCTATTTCCCACAATGCATCGACAATGTGTGAGTAAACACCAAAGATTCTGGTTGCCCTCTGACAGCTAATACATCTTAAAAACCCTGGCTGCCACTCAAGCTGTAGCTGTGCCCTTCAGCAAGGCACCGAACTGCTGTCGGTTCTGAACGTGTTGCTGCAACATGAAACCTGTGGACGGTTTACCTTCGACAGAGATGTCCTGGATGGCGAAGCGGAGGATGATGGTCCAGATCATTCCCAGGGTCATCTTCGCATTTCCATCCACAATTTCTGCACAAAAAAATAACTCTCTTCAGTTTCATAGAGACACAGTGGAACATGCATCTTGAGTGTCACTGCTGTTTTACAGTCGTGCATCTGCTCTTTCGTTTAATAACGCCAACACACCCACACAAGAGCAGCTGAATCTCAAGGATTTTCAGGGAAAGTGGAGCTTTAAAAAAACGATTTCTCACATGAAATAAACTAAATCTTGATATAAAAAAACCCTCAGCTTTACTTAATCATCATGAGAAACATATTTAATTCAATAATTTTCTGTGCTGTATGAATCAACTTTGTGCTCTGTGAAGGTGAAAAATCAACATTTACAAAACTAGCTTTAGCTCAAACACACCGACAAACTTTCACCTGCTTTATCTTCCAGTTCATCAGTTACACTCACTGTCAACAGAGACTCGTCGTAAAATATGAAGTCTGGGGCTCTGGTCTGAGGAAGTAGCTTTAAATGTACTTTTATTGGACCACATCCCCTGATTGTTCTTTTATTTATACTTGTGATTATTTTGATTTGTTTTTATGTCATTTTTTATACAGTTTTTTATGAAGCAACTTGTGACGTTGTTTTCATAAGTGCAATACAAATAAAGATTTTTATTACATTTATTAGAGAGTGGATACCCACTGGGTTTGGATGAAAGTTTTGAAATGTCGTTCAGTTTGAGTTGATGTTCAGCCGGGCTCTCTAGATCCAAAAGTCAAGTGTTGATTCTAAACTCGCCACAAGTATGAAAACTGAAAATCACTAAATGTCTCTTTTTGTTATTATAAGAAAGGTAAAGATGGATGAATGAGATGTTAATATCCACTCGTAGATGTTGGGACATTTGAGTGTTTCAACATTTTAGCACATGTTTGGTTCAGTGTGCATCTATTTCAGGGTCTTTGTTATACGAGTGCGTTTATGCACGAAGGCACGAATGCGTATTTACCCTCTGCTCCGATTGAGACCAGTTTCACTCCCTTGCTGGCGATGAAGTCCAGGGCTTTGTTCACATTGTTGATCTTGTGGACCCTCATCTTGCCTCGCTCAGGCTTGGGTAACCGCTCGCCTGGGGGG